ATTATAGGAATAGTAAACAACTAGCTATTTATCTCTTTTCTTTCATCATGCTTTACATAATTAACAGTATTTATATGCAAGCATGGTCACCATTAATTATAGTAAGGTATAGCCCAAAAGTTTTCGAGGAGTATTAGAAAAAATGTTGGTATTACATTACTTGAGGTACCCATGGTATTACATTACTTGTGGTACCCATGAATATAATACTCATAAATATATACATTATAAATGCTCAAGAAAACATAATCAACTAATCCTTTGTTGCATCCCTTAAGGAGCTCTTAAGATTAGTGTTCAACCACATCAACTTAATATTATCACCTCTAAAACCAATAAGTAGAGGCATGAGTCTTAAGAGATAAGAATATAAGTTCTTTTAGTCATGTATTCCCTTATATCTTATCATAGGGGCTCCGTCTATAGGAGGGCAACTAACATGAAAACATCCTTCAATATAGATGTCATCCCCCTAACACCTAGGTAAAACATATAGGTCTCGTATCTTCATTGTTCAACTAATGCTCAGATCAATTTGTGATCAAGATGGATGTCATGGAGCATGTTGATATCATAAAAAAAAGGCCCCTACAATATATAGACGAACATGCTTATACAAATTCATCATAATATTCTAGTGAAGTATCATAAGATCATTATCCTTAAAATCAATTAATATTTTACAAAATGAATTAAAAAAACCTTGAAATCAATTGAAAATGATCAAATATGAAACCAAGATAAAATAAAAGGAAAAATAGCACTTCAATCAAATATGAAATTGAAAATAAATTTAAAGTGGCTTGAATATCGTGATCACATAGTCACATAATCCACATAAAAGAAATACAAGTCTTATAAAGTCAAAGAATCAGGTTTGATAGGAGTGTGAGACAAAGATTACTTGAACCAAAAAACCAATATTATTAGAATGAAACCCTACCTGACGAATACTAATTTGCAAAGCAAGATATAAGAAAGACACCACAAAAATAGTTGTTATTTGATAAGTCAAATTCATTATTTGTCTCAACAAAGAAAAAAATATTATATTAAGCAAAACACAATTTTATTCAAAACATCATGGTTGATGAATTTTGCACAAAGAAAACAAGATATTATCCTCCTAAATAACCCTATTGAATCTTTATTTGGTTGCAAATCAATAGGCCCAAACAAATAATAAGCTACTAAAATAGTCCTAAAACATCAATTTTGGGATAAAACAAACCCAAACTAAAACACAAGCCCTAAATTGAATGTAAATATCTAAATAATAAAATAAAACAAAAATAAAACCATAAAATAATTGAGATTAATGAAAAGAAGTAATTCATCCCAAAAGTAATATGTCATTCAATACTTCAACCCTCATTTTCTTATGTAGTTAAGATAAATAAAAAAAATTCTTATAAACAAAGGATTTTGAAACATTAAGGAATCTTTGTCACACTTGAAAACCATGTTACTGTCTAATATTGAAGTTCCTTATGAAACCAGGACACTTCAAAAAATAAGTTGTTAAATATCTTTGTGTTATGAGAAAAAAAACCATCTCCAAATAAGAAGTCTATAACTCAAATGACAACAAATAACAAAATTCATATTGTATTTACTAACTTGTATCGTAAGACTTTTTCGAGCTCTGATTGACCTAAAATTTAAAGTCAATACAAAACAACATGTCTGGAAAAATTATAGCTCTGTTTAATGGTTAAATTAAGAGTTATACTTGATAGCGTAAAACTGGATAATAGGTACTATGTAGTATTACACTAAAATTCGAATTTGATTGTCCAACCCTTACATGGATTGCATTATAAAGTTTACAAAAGAAATCAAGAAGAAAATCATATAATCAAAAGAAAAGGTATTGAATCAAATATCTAAATAAAATAAGAGGACAACATAGGTTTTTTTATCAGACAACATGTTTTTTTAAGGTTAAGAGAGAGAAAGAAAAAATTATCGAAGTCAAATTACCAAACGACCCACTACACACACCACTTTATTTAGAAGGGGATGTCGTAATCTTTCTAAAGCCACCGTGGATTGACAATTTTAATTTTTTATCATCGTTGTATGTGCCGATTGAAGTGCGTAAAACTACCTCAAATAGTGACAGGTGTTGTGTGTATACAGTCTTTCTTTTTAAAACATTAATTATTCTTTTTAAAATATAAAATCACTCTTGTCTTGAACCCAAAATTACAAAAATATAACAATGAAAAAGACAAATAAGCCCTCAGACCCAAGTTTAAGAATTTATGATTGAAGAGGTAACCAAGTAAATTCACTATACTTTTTTAAATAAAAAGATGAATTAACCTATATACCTAAGGTAGATTTATTTTGATTTTAAGGATATTCTAATCATTACATTATGTAATTAATAAATAGAATAACAAATTCACCCTTATATTAAAGATAGATTTATTTTGATTTTAAAGGCAATATGGCCATTACATTGTGCAATTAAAAAGTAAAAAGACATATTTAACCTCAATTAATATGATAATAACCGATTGATTCTGGTGCAATTATAATACTATGTTAAAACACCATGCAAATTGACACGACGAAAAGATTGATGTCTTCTTCCAAGTGCAGGAGTGTCGAAGTAATAAATAACCCGGCAAGACTAGGGTCGAACCCCAGGGAGGTTAATTGTATAAATTATAAACAATTATAAACAACAACAATAATAATAACAACAACAACAACAATAATAGTAATAACAATAACAAAAATAACAATAACAATAACAATAATAATAATAATAATAATAATAATAATAATAATAAAGAAAAAGAAGGAGAAGAAAAAGATGAGAACTTTGAGATGGAATATTAATGTAAGGATTGAACAATGATAATAACAAATGTCAAGGTTAGAGGATCCACTAATAGTATGTCAAACAAGTATAGTATAAACTCTTATTATTCAATTGGAAACCACACACAAAGGAGGTTCCAATCAGATTATATATTGTTAACATGATTACATTAGTCATCTTATTCGATTAATGCTAATACTTGTAAATCTCGTCAAGCATTCATTATTATAACTTATGTTAACAACAAATCAAGTTCCTTTCATAGCTCAGGTGTCGGTTATACCATACAGTATGGGCTATGAAAGTGTCAAGCATTTGTTGTACCAAGTGTTATACAACATAAATCAAGATTAGTCATTTAACAAGCAAAGTATTAAAGAGTAAACAAGATAACAAATATAAAACATGTTAGTATCAAATATTAAATTCCATATTAAGTTTACACTATACTTATTCTTACACCATTAGTGTAACCTTTTTCATCTTGACATAATAAAATTAGCTAGACATAATGAAAGAAAGAAAAATAGATAAACAAAATAAGAACATAAATAAGATAAAAGTTAACTAACTAAAGGAAAGGAAATGAAAGGCATAAACTTGATATTAATGAAAACAAAGCATAAACATTACAAAAAAATACAAAGAGAGAAAGCAAGAGCATGATATTGATCTGGACACCAAGATGCCTAAATGCATGGCAAATGCCTCCTTTTATAGGCCAAAATTGGGAACTATTGATTTGATGACTAATTGATGAGTGGGTGACCAACTCTTGACTTTGTGACAATCCTTATCTTCTCTTATTTGCCCAAAAAGTCATTGATAACGTCAAAATTAGAGCCACTTGAAAACATGAAAGTTGTAGAAAATTGTCTCAGCTTTCTTGTGTAAAAACTTCAGCTCATTTGGACTTCTAGAACTCTAGATATGGGCCAAATACTAAACAGTGCTCGGGCTTGAAGACAGATTCGAGCTTTTTTGTTGTTGCTACAATTTGGACTTGAAAATAGCCTTTTTAGATTTGGGTTCCATATGAAAGTTGTAGGCCTATGTCTTACCTTTTCATCCATATAAATTAGACCTAAATTTGAGATCTACAACTCCAGATATGACCCAATTACTGAATAGTGTTCTGATGTGGACTGCACCGACATCTCTTTTCTAAGTTTGGTCATCTCTTTGTCCTTTCAATTTCAGTTCTTAAATTCATCAATCAATCCTTTCATTTATGTGATAGACCTGCATTTAAAATGAACATTTACCATAAATTAAAGGTATCTTATATTATTAGATACATTATTATAAAACATGTTTTAGTTAAGGAGTTATTGATACATCAAGTACAAAATGATGACATAAAACATTGATAAAAATATATTTTTAAGTACTAATCACAAATGAGTTTTCTATAAAGGGCAAAATAAGTAATTTCACTATTCATGTCTACAAAATACTATTCACTATCCCATTTTTTTTTTTTAAGTAGTGTGTGTACACCTCTCAGATTGACTTGCAATTATTTTCTACAACATTTTTTTTTTATCAATTGATAACTTACAACAATAGGACAACCAATTATATCCTTTAGAATAGTTGGCTAGCAGTAAGAAGAAGCTCATGTACATATCTAAAGTGTGATTTGTAGTTGTTTCATATAGAAACAAACACCATTCATTGCTATTGCGCCTGAACAAAATATTGATCATTTATTTTGCTTTTCAAAGGTTAATATTTTGAGTTTTATAAATCTTAAAATTATTAAAAATTTATATAGATATTAATTACAGAACTTATAAAACTAATCAAAATACATAACTTATCACAACCATGTTAATTTAAAAAAGAAGTTATTGACCGCTGATGTACTCAGATAGAAATCGCCGCTCACAAGCTTTATGACGTAGTTCAATGGGGAAAAGGGGGCTGATGATTGCTGATGGAAAATATTTAATTGAAATAATTATGTTGGGGATCAAGATATTTAAACTAGTATGCAAAGAAGGTACTATTAATTATTATTACCACAAGTACAGGAGAGATTTTATATAAAAATAGGCTCGGGATTCTCTGTTTTTTTTAATCCTGTTTTGAACTCTACAACTGAAAGATCGTACATGATCCCTAATTGATAAACTCGGTATAAATTACTCGAATAACATAATCAAATGTAAGTTGGAGCGCAAGCGACATAATCAGCACCGGACACGGCATACTCGGGAGAAAGGGCATCAATAGAGACGGGTGCAGGGGCTGCATCGCCATTGCTTCTAGTCTGGTACATGGCACGGCGGGGATTGGCGCACAGGTTTGGCAAATAAACTCCTGCATATACGCATGCAATATTTATTATTTGTGAACGAACTTTCTGACACATGCAGTGAAAGGAAATAAAAAGTTGTAGTGGCTGCAGAGATAGATAAAGGATTAGCATATGGAAGTACCTTCTGCTAGGGCCAAATTGGAGTAGAGATCGCAGTCGTGTTCTCAAGCTTGTCCCAACATCGTCGATCTCTACTCCAATTTGGCCCTAGCAGAAGGTACTTCCATATGCTAATCCACAAGCTTGAGAACACGACTGTGAGCAAAGTTTAGTCAAGAACTGAGGCTGAAGGAGAGAGTCTGATGAGATACCAACAGTGTTTCTACTGAGGCCACATGCAGTTATACATTCATCGATCTCAATCCATTCGTTCAGTATACCTACAACAACCTCAGAAGTCTTGCATTGGTACTTAACTCCTCCATCTTTCGTCGCGTAATTCTCCAGCAAACATCGCTTCCCAGAAGTTGCAATTGAATATGAGCAGAGATCAACGGGCAACTGCTCGCATACAAGCTCGCCTAGATAATATACCATGTCAAACAATAAAAGAAACAATTCAGCACTGCTAGCATACAAGATTGAATATATATATCTACAGAGAGAGAGAGAGAGAGAGATGAGTAGAAGGATTTAATTACCAAGAGCTCCATTAAGGAGAAGAGACAGAGCCAGGAATGCGATCAAGGCCATATTTATCTGACCAGCAAATGAGAAATGGAAGATGGTATGAGAAATCAGGTTTGTACGTTTGCTGGGTTTATATAGTAGAGGGAGCTGGGGAGGATTCATCCCCCTCAGAGGTCAACAACTTTGTAGGTATCTTATGCTGATTTAAATAACAAGAGAAATACGCCCTTGTATCAGCCATTATTCGGCAACATGATATATAATACAATAATTTAGGGAAGAAGAAATATAGCAGAGAAGAAGTCTTTGTTTGGAGTTAATTTCCAAGCATACTTGTATTAAAATATACTTTTGACATTTATAGCCACACAGTACATAACAGGATTAACAAACAGAATAAACAGACAATTAGCAAAGAATTACACCACCATTCCCTTTCTAACCAAAAACTACTTACCACTTGCTGCCTGCGGCGCGGGCGCCCAGCCACTACATGTTCTGCAGCTTGATCGGCGGCAAGATCCCGAGTTCTTGGTCATATCTCCTCTTCTGGCCACGTTCTTGTGCATATCACATTAATGGCAACGGAAATCTACTTTGGTTAGACCTATTCAGCTGTTGCCAGTTTAGTTTTACCAATGCCCTTGTCGTTTTACGCGGATCTGTCTCTTTTTGACATCCTCCCCTTTTTTGTTTCATCTTGCCGAATTTGGATACTCTTATGTTCCAAAAAAAAAATGACAGATCATGGTTTAAATTTTAGTGATAGTGTTTTTTAATTGAATAAATCTTAATATTGATTTTAATTTCAATAATTTGAATCAAGTGAAAGAGAAAAATTCCTCTGTTGCACAGCTAGAGTATATTTAATATATATATTAAAATTATTTTTATATTTTTATATTTTTGATATCAGCATATTAAAACCATTAAAGAATACTAAAAAAATATCAATTTAATAATTTTTTAAATAAAATAATACACACAGGAAAACAAAAGGAACCTCACTTGCAGGCTTACACTTGTTTTTTTCACACATATTAAGTTTATCCTTAATTAATTAAAGAAAAACACGTCATTAATTGATAATTTACATCACTTTTGTATTCATATTTTTCTTGAATACCCCTCCCCCAGCGGTATTGTAGAAAAATACATCACAAAAAAATTATTTTGAAACAAATAAAAATAAAACGTAGACGGTCTCTTCCAAACATATGAATAAATATGCAAGTTGTTTCGCTTTTATCACGCGCTAAATATGAGAATGCATTGAATATAAATAAAATCATGGACAAAACCATTGAATTTGCCTGTGTTTGTCTCGATTATTTATTTATTTATTGTAGTTAATTTAATTTCTATATAAATTTAAAGATTTTGCCTAAACTATGAACTTTTTGTGAAAAAAAAGATTGTGATATTATATTTATAGTTAAATTAACTATAGAATATAGACAAATGGATCCTCCCACTGCAATTGATGACATATATGACATGATAGTTCATACAGTGACATACTGCTACGTTGCGCTTTGGATATTAAAAAATTGAACTTAACAATATAATAAATGGATTGAAGGAAATCTTTTAGTATTGCTATTAAATTTGGTATAATGAGATAAATTTAAAAACTTTAAACCTGTCTTTTTTTTTATTTTTGTCTAGGTTTTAAATTTATTATGTGTGAATTGTTGTGGTTTGATTTTGTTATTTTAGTAGATTCAAATAAAAGAATCAAAGAAATAAATAATAAATAATTCTGATCTATCTTTCAACCTCATAACCTAATTTATAAATTCAATCAATTATTTTTTTATTTTATTTATATAATAAAAAATTTAAAAATTAATTAAATTTTAAATTTTAAATTTTAAAATAAAACAATTAAAAAACTCAATATTAAAAAAAATCAAAAAATTAACCCCACGAAAAAACTAAAAGCACAAGCCTGAGGATGGCTTGCACGCCTCGGTGAGGTACTTTTTTTAACTTTTTAGGAGGTGGACGCCCCTTGTGTTTTTATTATAAAAAAAAAAAAATCAAATGAGTCGTAGACATCGCATTGTTTCCTGGTTGTAGCCTAGATTCCACCCATTATAGCATAGCGATTATCGAAAAACAAGGAGATGGTTTATTGAGTTGGAAATTTATTTCTCAACTTATTTTTATTTAAAATTATTTTAAAAAAATTAAATTATTTAATAATCCTAAAATACTTTAAAATTATTTTTAAAAATAAAAATCAATCAAATAAAAAATAATGATATCAATATCAATATCCTTTATCAGGGGTGAAGAAAAAATATTATTATCAAACTTCATTTCTTAAATAAAATTTATTAGCTTTAAAAATAGTGATTTTTTTCACCGAAAAGTGGCATCATCAACAATTTTACTCTCTTTTTATTTTTTTAGATGATTTTCTATCTATCTCTAAAAAATACTAAAAATAAATAAAATAAACTTTTAAATTAAAATAAAAATTATTGTAAATTTAGTACAAGGTATGTATTTTCTACGTGTTTCACTCTCTAGTCTCTACCTTTTAATTTTTTATTTTATAATAATTTGAAAATTAATTTAATCTAATCAGGCTATCAAAGATTTAAATTGAAAGAAAAAAAATCATCAAAATATCAGTTATTTCATTGCTCATATTATGATAATGAAACCGACCTCATGTGTTTTATTATTTTGTTAATGTTAATATATTAGATAATAATTGAAGAAATTGTCGTTCAAAATATCTAATAACAAAAATATTAAGTATCATTTCTGGGCTTTCCTTCCTAATCATTGAACATCAAAAGTTCTTTCTTTTTTGTTGCATGCGCATACATCACGTCTTTTCTCAACAGAAGAAGGCGGTAATATAACGTAATTACTTGAAGCCTGCTGTGAAAATGGTGGACAATTCGATGACGACAACTCAAAGATGGATCAAGGCAGCAAGCTGACTGCTTGACTTGACTGACTGTAAATTACTACGAGATTACAAATAGATATTGCCAAGCATTAAGTATTTTTAATGTAGAATAAAATGTTTGAGAAAAAATGGTCTTGTACTTATTTCTTCTTCACTAAACACTCGCAATCAAAATACGATAATTCGAAGTGACCAAAGAAGGCACCACGCTACTAGAAATCTGATATATCTAGACAGATTCCATCAATTATTATGGTGGAACCGAAAAAACAAGAACAAACAATATCCCACTTCAGGAAAATCTTGCAGAACAAAGTCCACAGTGCTCAATCTTTGTTGCTTCTACCGTTTTCCATTTCCATTACTTCGAATTTGTATAATCTAACAATGATTCCTTTTCGTAAAATGTCTAACAAGGATGTTCCCGAAAAACAGAAACATTGAATACATCAAGAAAGGACTTGATCCAGAAGCATGGAACACCCCGAGATACACCTCTCAGCTAAATGAAACACCTGCACAACTCAAGGAACCAACCCAACAAAGATGACAGAGAAGGTATTGTCAGGCTACCACTTCTGACTGAAGAAAAAAAAGGATTAAGCTGCCTGAACTTCAGTCTTTGCAGCAGTTTCTGTTGATTTTGGTGAGCTTTTCTTTCCTTCAATTGATTTTGCTAAGCTTGGAATGTACTTCCAGCATCCCTTGTGAACTCCACTTATCTTCTTGGGAGCATCGGCAATTGGTAATCCTGTATTAAATGTTGATAAGATCAACTCCGCCTCCATGTAAAGAAAAATATTTATACGAGTAAAAACAAAGACAGCCAGCAGTTCTTGTTGTTCCACGTATCAAGTAAAATAGGGAAACAAGTCAATTTTAAAGAGGTCACTACCGCAAACATAGATAACAAGCAAAAAGGGAAGGGTGGGAAAAAGACTTCAGCAGATTCTGTCATCTACAGTCATTCAACATGCATATACTATCAAGGAGGAGATAGCATGTGCCATGTGGTAGAGAAAAAAGGATCATCATTGAAAGCCCCATCAGAAACTAATAAGTCTGGGAAGGTTTCAAAATTGCCAAAGAAAAGAACAAGAAACCTAGGAAATGGTTTGAGCTCCACAAAAGTTTTTAACCCCTAATATAATTAAACTAGCATAACCAACATTTCCATTTAGTTCTTACAGAAATAAAATGCAAGCAAGATGATTTCCTACTAGATCCAAGACTGATCCTCTGGGGAAGATAGAAGAAAGAATTTTCATACAACCATCCGAGTCCCTAGAATCTAAAGAGCATTAAAACCTGTTCAAACACTAACTCTTTTTCAGGCATATTGAACTTTGAGAATTGAAAAATTATTCACCATAAATTAACATATGATCACCTGAAAAATGATCCAGAAGGGGCTTCTTTTTTTCCATATAAACTAAGGCAGGTAACAGGTGTCCTCTGATTATGGTTTCCACAACCAATCACAGATAATCGAAACAAATCAGTAAAGTGAGAGAGTGGGCATACTGCAAACATAGCACAAATTCTTGTCCTATGTTCAATATGTATTATTGTGAAGTCTTGTTCCAATGAGGTAAGTTAAACTACTACTTCTAATGGAATTGGAACCTACAAACAGAATAAAAGTGGGCAAAAAGGCATTCCCTATTCCTTCCTCTACGGATTTTTATGTGGTGTTTATTGCAGACAAACTCCGCACCTACACAACCGATACAAAATCTAAAAGCTCCAGTTAAACATTGGATGCAGCCATTACTTTAGCAAGAAAGCTGGCAATGAAAAATAGAACATGACCTCCACAAACTTCCATGAACTTCAATCAAACAGACAAAAACACCACATCTTTTGGGGGGGGAAATTCAATCAAAAGAAAAAAAAAACACATTAAAATAAAATGAAATAATGAAGAATTATAAAATTCAGAAGATAGCATAACTAAGACTGACCGTCTTTGTGAGCTATTCCCCATGCTTTTCCATGCCTACCATCCTGCAATGATCAGAAACACATTAAACCCTGAAGAATCCCTTAACCAAGATGAAGAAATAAACTCCAAATTTATCATAATCTAATGATCTCCAAAGATAGATAAAGGATTAGCATATGGAAGTACCTTCTGCTAGGGCCAAATTGGAGTAGAG